CCTAGGCACATAACTCAAGCTCCCACGTACCATGAATCAGGTCTGCGAGGGTGACAGGTAAAAGTGTTTATTCACTGGTGCCTCAGATGAAATGATTCACCTCACATGTGTTAGCAGATTTATTTCCAGGGGGTGGTTTCTTTACCATGGAGCAGACATGGATTTTGTTTTTCCTTTTGAAAAATAACCTCTGGCTTTTAAAGCATGCACCATAGTATTTTCATTGGCAGAGAGCTAACGTGTGACAGCATCAGGGTATAAAACAGGACATTATTTTTGGACCGTTCTGAATTACAGAGACTGTGGTACTAGCTAAAAATGGAGGGAGGGGCAACTGAAAACATGTTTATGAAGTGCTTAACATTTGCTTAGATGTAGCCCATGGTCTGGGAACTCTGGGAAATCACGTGTCCAAAAGGAAGATGATTTTAGCTTTCACAGGGCTCGCTAATTTCAGTCTGAGGGACAGTTTCTCCTGAGAAGAATGAAGAGTATCTGATGCAGTGGCCCAAATCTTGTAGGCAATACATAGTAGCGCATGAGATTGTGAATTTGATTTTGACAGTAGTGCATGAGATTCTGAATTCGACTTGGAAACTAAAAAGCTTTGGAAATGGTTCATATCAAACCTGGAAATGAAAAGTTTGGAAGTGTCACCTTCAAGTGGACGAAACAACAGACTGGATGTTAAATGACTTGAATTTTAGCCTTTCGTTAACTAATGAGCTTTGTGAGAGTAGGCAAGCCTTCAGTTTCCTTAGGTGGAACCTTAGAGACAGCATTTTCCAGACAGTTTTGTTTTTTTTTTTTTTTTAACAGCCGTTTTTTTCTTTCAAACAAAAGCTTATACCTAAGTCTAATACGTAAAAGAGCTAAAGACAGAACCATCCCCTTGGAAACTGCCAAGAGGGGAGCCCAGGGCTGTGGCCAGAAATACTGTGGCCGCCAACTCCCCTGGAGCTATCCCCTTACTTCTACCAAACAGCCTGAGAAGTCATTAGGAAACTTTGGAGAGATAAGAGCTGAAGTCTCTTGAGTTCTGATTTTTTATGATTGAACATGGAAATCTGTCCCGCTTGATAGGACACCACCAGGAGCAACAAGGAATTAAAACAGGGATGGATTCACACCTAAAGACTTCTTTGCGGGGCACCTGAGTGGCTCAGTCGGTTAAGTGTCTGACTTCAGCTCAGGTCATGATCTTGCGGTCCGTGAGTTCAAGCCCCGTGTCGGGCTCTGTGCTGACAGCTCAGACCCTGGAGCCTGCCTCGGATTCTGTGTCTCCCTCTCTCTCTATCTCTCCCCCACTCACACACTCTGTTTCTCTCTGTCTCTCAAAAATGAATAAATGTTAAAAAAAAAATTAAAGACTTCTTTGGAAAAAACAGTCGAGGTTATTTTACCATAACCTCTGATGTTAGGAGAGGGTTTGTGGGACAATTTGGACATTAGCTTTAAGCTCAAAATACATTTTGAAAGCTCTACCTTTCCATCTCCTTCTTGAGGCACCTTGCTTTCGTGAGCCCACAGCAGGTTGTACTTTGCAATGCACCTTCACAGGTGTTGTCTCCAGTGCACATGTGTGTGAAAGCCCTCACTGCCCCCTACTGTCCTGGAGACAGCAGTTCTGTGGGGGAGGAGCCCATATCTTTCAACGGTTTCTTTCCCATCAAGAAAAGGGAAGAGAGTAAACGACCTCTGTCTGAATCTTGATATAAATTAAGTTTTCACAGTGGTAGCCTTGAACCTTTAGACAGGAAGTCTTGACAAAACTCTCTCTCCTCCTGGTCAGGAACAACTTAGTCCCATGCATGGAAAGACTTGCAAATTTATATGCTGTTCATTTTATGGCCAAGACTAGACGTCCATGATTCTTTATGTAACACAGCTTACATGCTCTAAACCACATGCCCTTGTTTTCTCCTCTTGCAACGTAAGGCCGTGGGGAGAGAAGGGAAACAGACTGATTTGGGGACAGAAGTGGTTTCTTAAAAGCGACAGAGAACAGATCAGCTTAACAAGTCATTATGAATTAAGTCCCAACTTTTTAGGTTTTGGAAGGAAACTGGAAATATTCATCAATGTTGTACTTGATCTCTGTATCATCCCCCAACATAAAGCACAGTGGTAATTTTATTAAGACAGGAATAAGTTTAAAAATGGGAGAGGAGCTGACACTGATATATGAAAGAGAAATACAAATTTGAGGGAAATACTGTGTTGCTTAAAAAACTCATAATATGTAAGGCTAGGGTGAGGTATTTGTATTTATTACTAGATGCAGAAATTTATTTTCCTAGCATTCTATTTCCTTAAAAGGAGGTAAAACCAGCTACATGACAACTGCTCCTATTTACAAATGACAGTTCCTTCATATTTTGATTTCTAACTTTATTTTGGTCCCTAAATTAACATTTTTTAGTGTTTCTTTCTGTTCTGCTCCTCTGACCTAGCCTGGAAATTTTGAAGAACATTTCTTTCTTTTGTTTTCCACTCTAAGAAGGCTTTAACATTTTCTTTCCTTAAATTCAAAATATAAAAATAATGATATTTTTTAAATGCACATATTAAGGAAATTCTCATTTGCAATGAGATAACATTGTCACAATTAAAACTCATAATTCAAAGCAATTTAACTTTCATTTTTTTCAAGTTGTTTATGTTAGAAATTACCTATCATTTATCACATGTGGAAGACTTATAAATTTGTAGACTGTGTGTTTTATGGCTTAGACTGAGGCATCCGCGACTTATTACTCACAAACACAATTCTTGACAATTACACATTAGTCCAGAACTCATAGAGCCTCAGAGAGCGCTCATCCAATGCGCCAAGTGCATGACTTGAAATACACATCACCTTAGAGGTGTGGAGAGTTAAGGCAGCTTCCAAAAGCTGTTTTGTTCTCCATCCATAGTCTGTGGTCTGTGACAATTTGATGTTCATAAGCTCATATTGAATGTTTTGTTATTCAATGTGCCCTTTAAGAATGAAGAAAAGCAAGTCTCACTAAATATATGTAAGCCAGATAAAAGCAAATATAACCAAATATGTTTGACAGCAAACAAATATAGCACAACAAAACTTCAGTACTCTTATCTGTTTTGGTGTTTTAATCCTGAAACAATTCAGAAATAAGTTTTATCAGGCAAATAAAATCATATATGATTTCTAGAACACAGCATAGTATAAATAAGAAATATAAGTATAATCGTCAACACTACGTAACAATGTATTTGTGATGTCTTATGCAGAATCTACAATAAAATTCCTTTCCTTTTCCAAGATTATTTTTTATATTATATCCATAAGCTGATCTTTTAAAGACATGTATACATTATTTCAAATATTAGTCTTCCAATATGAAGTGTGCTATAACCCAGCAAGCTAATTCTTAAGCACATACTTATGTGTTAGGCACTGTTCTTGGCTTGTATGTGTTTTATTTCATTCAATGTTTACAACAACTTTATGAAGTAGGGATTCTTATTACTGTAATTTGATGTATGAAGAATTTAGGACATTAATAATGTAACTTGTTGAAGGTCAACACATAGTGATGATGAGGATAAGATTTGAACCCAGGCAGTCTGACTTCTGAAACACCATATTAAATCACTACCCTTTACTTCATGGATTCAGGCCAGAGCTAGATGATCTCTTTAGGAGTAATAAAGGGAAAAAAAAATATTTTTTAGGAGTAATAAAGGAAAAAAATATATACAATTTTATTGAAATAGCTCCCTCCTCTAGAACTCTATTTCCTCCATCTGAAATATGAAATAGTTAAGGCTTAAAAATGAAAGGGAAGGAGTCAGATAGGACTTTCCCTAACAAAGAATCATCATCTGCGAAGCAATTTTGATATTTATAAAAACTACTTTAAAACCTTCCAAATTACTGAAATGTCTGATGGTTTTCTGGAAATGAAGTTTAGTAGAGGGGACAGAGCTTTCTCAACACCATGGCTACCAGTGAAGTTTAATACATTTCATCTTCTATTTTGGCCATAATGACTGAATATTATGCCACCATATCATAACAATAACCTCAATGGATGTCAGGAAACTGTAGTAATCATACACAAGAAGATGGTACAAGCATTTGGGCATTTCTTCAGAGTTTTGAAATAAGCAGGGAGATCCAGAAGATCCACTCATAAACTGGATCTTAAGGGACCCCAAAATTTACAGTTCTATGGAAAGTTCCATTAAGTCTAGCATCCCCTGGGGAGTCTCATGTGCTTAAATCTTAGGACTCTGGGTCTTGCTGAGTTTCTTGTTTGAAGGCACTCTGAGAATTTGGAACTGGAGCAGGTGTTTTGAGGTGTCTGAATCATGGAAATTTAGCACTAGACAGGACTCTGGGAATCAGTTTGGCTAACTCTCCATCATTTTGCCAATGAAGAAACCAAAAAGCAGAAATGAAACATTTGTATGAGGTCACAGAACCTGTCAGTGATAAAATCACAAAGGAAAGCAGGTTCTCTGGCTTTTAGTTGACTGACTTAGACTTCATACTCTGTCCTGTATCAGGAGTCTGTAGTTGCGAGTGCCACACTGACTCATGGTTTTGTGGCTCTGTGAATGAATGATCAACACTCTGTGACATACCATATAACTAAAGCACAACATCGAATATGATGTACCAGTACTGCTAGATACTGTCTTAACAGTCTCGCACCTTCTGGAACACTGGAGAACATTCTTTACGGTTAAACAAATACATACCCATAATCTTATTTTTACCCACATCTTTAAGAAGCATGGATGGAAAAAAACAGGATATAAAGTAAGTTTTCATTCTTTACCTTACTATCAACTTAAGTGCAGGTTCTGGGGAAATATTCTATTTCCAGTGATGGTCTCCAGTAATCCCTACTTGTAAAGGAGGAAAAGGAGACAGACTGAGAAGTTTCTATGACACCAAGAATGAACATGTGTATCCATTCCAGTTAGGACCCAGCTCAGGGGAGTGTCATACAGAGAAAGCCACATACCAGGAGCAGCTGCAGCAACAGCACCAGCAAAAGCAACATGTGTTGTTGGGCCTCTGGTTTCCAGGCGCTTGGGACACAGCAGGTGTTCCTTCATTTTGTGACTGCTGTCTTTTTCGCATTTCAGCTGCTTCAGTACCCAACTGGCTGAAAGAAGAGAGAAGACATTAAGGTATGAAATACGTAAGAGAAAGAGAAGTTGCCTATGCTGAAGGGAACATAATTTAATTAGGGGGAGCAGATAAATTAAGGAAAGATAAAAACAGGGCGTCTGGGTGGCTCAGTTGATTAAGCATCTGACTCTTGGTTTCGGCTCAGGTCACATCTCATGGTTTGTGAGTTCAAGCCCCGCATCAGGCTTTGCGCTGGAGCCTGGCATGGAGACAGCTTGAGATTCTCTCTCTCCCTCTCTGTCTCTGCCCGTCCCCTGCTCGTGCTTGCTCTCTCTCTCTCTCTCAAAATAAATGAATAAACTCAAAATAAAATAAAATAAAATAAAAGGTAAAAATGAATAAGCTTTAGCAGTCAAAAATTCCCAAGAAAACATTTTTAAGAGAATATCTTAAACACTTTTTGGGACAAACTTCTACCCACTGTTGTCTGCTACACAAAATTATTGTCACAATGTTGCCACATAATCAAAATCAACTGGTAAGGTAAATATGATAAAGTTTGAAAATTTAACTTCTTTTTTTACTAAAGAATGATTTCATCTGCTTCCCTTCCTGAACACCTTTAAATGATTGTGGCAGGTGTACATAACTTGTTTCTCCACTGATGTTTACAGTAAGGTTAACTGAGCTTTCCAAATCAGGTTGCGGGGTTTCTAACTATCTAACATTGTGAGGAAGATCAAGTTTGTTTTTGGTCTTCTCTCAGCTTCTTCTAAAACACTGAATCTGGGGGCGGGCGCCTGGGTGGCTCAGTTGGTCAGGCAGTTAAGCATCCGACTTCAGCTCAGGTCATGATCTCACAGTCAGTGAGTTGGAGCCCTGCATCGGGCTCTCTGCTGTCAATACAGAGCCTGCTTTAGACGCTCTGTCTTCCTCTCTCTCTGACCCTCCCGTGCTTGCGCTCTCTCAAAATAAATAAACTTAAAAAAAAAACAAAAAAAACAGAACACTGCATCTCCTTTCCTTTTTGATACATCTGACTCACCCTGTGGGGGCCTAATCTTGATAATATTGGCAAAGTGCCTTTTTCTCTGTTAGGAGTCCATGTTGCAAAGGCAACACCACCCTTTCCTCCACCACCTAGATTTGTGTTCAGTCAGTAGAGAACTGTGGAAAGATGAAAAGTCCTCAAATCCAGGGAAATTACTTTGGTGGAATGTATATATCATGTCAAATGAGAAAAACATCAGGATACAGGATGCACACTACCTGTGACCTTACAGAGCAGGCCAAATTGCTTGTCACCTATTAATAAGACCAATCCTGACCTAGCACTTTGTTGAGTATAAAAAAATAAAAAAAATAAAGCTTTGTTTCAGTAGAATAATATCAAATATAGCATGAACTCATAGAAAAAGAAAAGATGCATGATGTTATTCATAATATGCAGTGTATGTAAATCATATACATACAATGTCATGTGTGACTGACAGCAATACTTATTAAAACCATAATGTACTTTATTTTGGCATTGTGAGCTTATGCATTCAAAATTATGTTTTCATGCATTGATTTTTTTTAAATTGGAGAATAAAATACATATTAAAAATGTTTTTCTATGTTCATGTAAGGGGTGGAGCTAAAAAATTTTCATGGGTCAATGCTTATGTATTCTTATAGCATTTCCAGTTAAACGGTTAACAGGTATATAATCTACTTCGGTCAGAAGAGAACAAAGTCAGAGGGAAGGAATGAAATATAAGAAGCAATTAAGTACTGAAATTGATAAACTCTGATGTTGAACTTATTGACTATCTCAAGTAAAAAAAAACCCATGTTTCTCTGTTTAGAATAGTCAAGAACTAAATTTAAGACTATATAAACTAGGGAAATGGAAGGGTTGCTCTTCCCTCCACTAACACTGTTTTTATATGTGTAATAATGTCCCCAAATTGTTCAATCTAAGAGTCCTTTTATAATACTCTCTGGGCCTATCAGCACCTGTGACACAGCGACGACTCCATCCTCTTTGGAATGCTTTCTTCTCTTGCCTTCTTGGGTACCACACTCACCTGTTGGCTTTCTTTTTTTTTCTTTTTTTCTTTTTAATTTTTTTTAACGTTTACTTATTATTGAGAGACAGAGACACAGAGTGTAAGCAGGGGAGGGGCAGAAAGAGGGGGAGACACAGAATCTGAAATAGGCTCCAGGCTCTGAGCCGTCAGCACAGAGCCCAACGCGGGGCTCGATCTCACAAACTGTGAGATCATGACCTGAGCCGAAGTTGGTCACCCAACCAACTGAGCGCCCCTCACCTGTTTGCTTTCTATCTTACTAGTCACTTCTCAGTCTATTTTGTTATTTCCTTTTCATCTCCCTCACCTCCAAATTTTGGTTGGCCACAGTATTCGGTCCCTAGAACTCTTCTCTGTCATTTTTTGGGATGAACTTTTACAGGATCTACCTGTTTCCAGTTCAGAATTCTCAAATTTACAAGTCCAGTAAAGATGACTTTCCTGAATTCAGGACTCATATATCCAACTACCTACCTGATGTCTCCACTTGGTTTTCTCAGCTTGCCATCTCAGTCACAACATGTTCCAATCTGACGCCTTCCTCCCCCACCAACCTGTTCCTCCCACAATTCTCCCACTTTCAGTAAATGAAAAGATTTATCTTTCTAATTATTCAGACCAAGAGTGGGGGGGAACTTGTGGAATCATCCTGGACTCCTCTCTTTCATTCAGACCCCCACATCAGCAGATCAGCAAATGTAAGCCCTCTTCACTGTTCCCTTCCACTCGCCCCTCTTCTGTTTTTACTACTCCTCATCTTTTCTCTTCCTATTCCAATCCATTCTAGTCTCAACACAGCAGCCAAAGTGAGTCTTTTAAAACGTAAGTAGATGATTTCAGCAAGGGTTCTTCCACCTGAATCCACTCTAAATCTTTCAGTGCTTCCCATTTTACTCAGAGTAAAAGCCAGCATTTTTGCAATCTGGTCCTTCATCACTTCTCTGAGTGAATGTCCTTTTCTCTCCTCCTCACTCACTCTGTTTAACCACAATGGCCTCCTTGCTGCCCCTCAACCATGCCTGGTACAATCCTGTGTCAGGGCCTTTGCATTGGCTGTTCTGCACTCAGTGCTTAACTTCATCCTTACTCATACATTACGTTTTCAGGGGAACTTTCCTTGCTCTTTATTTAAAATTACACCTCCCTTACTCCACCCCCAGCATGACCTATCCACCCTTGTTTGTCTAACTAACTAGAAAATAACTTCCAGAAAGGTAGAGATTTTTGTCTGTTTTGTTCGTTGTTGTAACAATGCCTGGCACACAGTAGATAACAGAGAAATGTTTGTTGAGTGGTGAATTTTACAAGCAATTTCATTAGTGACAAGAAAAAGACAACAACTCTATCACATCCAACACTGAAAATTATTCACTTCCTAGCCAATGCAATACAATAAGAAAAAGCAAATAAGGATTGGAAAGGAAACCACAAGTATTAATATTTACAAGTGACATGGTTGTCTACAAAGAAATTCCAAGAGATTCAACAAAGTTATTAGAGATAGTTCAAGAAGAATACCAGGTTAAGCTTCAAAAATCAATATACTTCGATTACACCACCAATAACTAAATATAATATATCAAAGAAAGAAAGGCAACCTGCAAATGAGTTAAAAAATGAAAAAGCAACTGGTAGTATTTTTAACAAAAGTTGTGTAAGAACTTTATGAAAATATTATAAAGCCTTATCAAAAAACATAAAATAAACCTGGATACAGAGATAGGTTATTTTCTCAAGCAGGAAAATGGAATATCTTCAAAATGTTAATTGTCCCAAATTATTCTATAAATTCAATGAATGTAACACAAATTCTAATTTAATCATTCATAGAACTCAACATAGGGACTCTGAAATTTATGTGGAAGAATAAAGAGCTGAAAACGACCAAGCTATTTCTGAAAACAAGAACAAGTGGGGGTATCATATTAGTAATATAAATCAATAATAATTATGACAATATGTCATTAGCATGGGAATACATAAGTAGACCAGGAGAATGGAATGTGTACACAGCTGAGACACAGACTCAGGCATATTTGCAATCGTGGCTTCCATGATTAAAGGATGCTTCCATCACCATTCAGCAAAAAATTCAGTATGTGGTGTTGATACACTTAGATTTACATATGAAAAACAATTACATTTCTAAGCTAGAGCACACACACACAAATAAACTTCAGATGAATAGGTGTCACACACAAAGATAAAACTATGACAAGAAAATATCAAAAACAGCTTTTATAGTTTTCAGGCCAGAAAAGGATTTCTTAGAAGACCAAGCAAAAAGGAAAACATTATTTTTGATATAGTCTAATTTATCAAAAACCTTTGAAGAAATAAGGATAACATAAGTAGAGTTAAAAATGAGAACCAGACTAGAGGATACAAAGGATTACTGTCTGTAATATGTAAGTAACATGTCACAATTGAAAAATACTAATAACCTAAGAGAAAAATGGGCAAAGGAGATGTGCCGGCAGTTTACAGAAGAGGAAAATATAAAGATCCTGAATTAGATTAACAAATGCTCAAAAGCAGTAATCAGAGAAATTCGAATAAAATTTCAATGATTCCCTAATCAATCTTCCCACAGTTAAAAAGTCACAGGGCACCAATTTTGAGAGAAGATGTGGTAAACAGAAGCTCTCATACAATCATGTTGAAGAATAATATCGGCTACAGAGCTAACAAATTCTAGTCTCACGTGAATACACTGGAGAAACTTTCACACACACATATGAAGGCATTAATTACAGTATTTTTGGTACCTTAAATGGGAAACATTCATTTTCATCTTTTCAGGAGTGAATAAAAATGGCAATCTCCTTATATGATGATCTGTAAAACCACACTTAAAATGAACAACTTAGATCTATATGATTCAACAGGGAGATCGTAAAATAACACTGAATGGAAAAAATAGCTGCAAAATATTAACATATTATTATTATGTATTATTATTAATATAACTATTATTGACATAA